ACCGGCGGGGCCTGGGGGGCAGCTGCCTGGTAACGCCTGGGGGGGGGCAGGGGCCCCCGCCACCCCGACGGCCCCTTCCCCCCCGTTATGAGACTCTGTGCCCCCCTTTTCCATGCTTGCCCGGGGTTTTGGGGGGCTGGGGGGGTGCCAGGCAGCCCTGGCCAGCGATGCTGGGAGGAGGGGGTACCCACGGCATTAGTGTCGGGTTCTTCACATCCCCTCTGGCTCATCCTCACCTGGGTTTTGGGGAATCTTGGCTCTGGGTGGGTTTGCAGTGGGGTGCAGCGCCCATCTCCCGTGGCAGCTGGCATTGCCGCTCCAGATGAGGAGCAGTAGAGCGTGGAAAGCCCCCGGTGCAGACACTGAAGGGGGCCGGTGTCTGGGATTTTCCAGAGGGGCGATTTGGAAGCATTGTCAGAGCCTGGGTTAAAGGCCCCTGCCTGGGTGCTCTCTGGTCACGCACGCCTCATTCTTCTCCACCAGCGCTTCTGGCCCAGAGCTGGTGAGGCAAGAGGCTGGTGGGGCATCGTGAGACGCCCTTGGTGACCTCCCGTCACTGCTTTCCCACCCTCAAAGGCCCCGGCGGCCAAAGGGGTGGCCAAAACACCACCACCCTCTGTATTCCACCCTGCTCTCCTGGGCGGGGGGGAAGCGGCAGGGCGCTGAGCCACATCAGCGTGGCTGAAGCAGGGGTTTGTTTTGCTCTCAGCCCCAGGATTAGCCTGGAGGGTGGATGCGATCGCTCCTGGGCCGTTCCGCTGATCTCTGCGGTCTGGAGGGATCCGTTTGCGGGAGACACAGGGCTGCAGCTCCCTGTCCCGCCCGGGTCGCTGCTCTGCTCCCTGCTGGCTGCGTCGGTGGGATGGAGGCAGTTGCAGCAGCTCAAACGCCACCTTCTCCTTCTCTCTAGGAGTCTTACCCAGCTGTTCCCCCGATATGGTCTGTGGAATCGGACGATCCGAACCTGGCAGCTATCCTGGAGAGGCTGGTGGAAGTCAGGAAGGGAAATACGCTGGTGAGGGGGTGCTGCCTGGGGAGAGGGGAGGGGTGGCAGGAGGCTGGCTGCTTCGGGAGGGCAAAATCCCTGCTGCGTGCCTCCAACTACCCGAGGCGGGGCCTGCATCTGGCCTTGTGAGGGTTTGGGAAATTTGGGATGAGTGGCTCTGACTTCTCTTGAGTTTCATGCTGGAGCATGATTTTTTTTCCCCTGTGTCCACTGCTTCTTGGAGCAGGAAGGAGCTCCGGGCTTTCGCTTGTTTGTTTGCAAGGGAAAGCATTGCAGTGGTGAGGACGGCTGGGGCTTAGCTTGGCACATGGGTCTCTGCGTTTCTCTGACACTTGTCTGGTCTCTCGACAGCTTTTGCAGCACCTGAAGCGAATAATCTCCGACCTGTGCAAACTGTACAACCTCCCCCAACATCCAGATGTGGAAATGC